GTACTATCCAACAGCGGTAGTAATCAATAAAATCATAAAAAACATAAATTTTATAATGCAATAAAAAATCATGATTTGCAAAAAATTCTGTCACACTTTGAACAAAATGTTGTAATTGTTATTTAAATTGTTAAAACAACAACACACATGTATATAAATTCTCTTCAAATATGCTAATTTATGCATATAAATAACAAATTAAAAAAATGTTTAAGAATAATTTACTACTACGTGCAACTATTAAGAAATCGTTGTTGAGATTAAAAAAACTCACTAGCTGATTACGTTGAACATTTTTTTATTATTTTTAACTGAGATTGTTGAAATACTATTCTACAGCTGAACGCTAAGACGGCAAATTTTTCTTTGAAGTTTGTTGTGGTGGCAAAAATATTTGTGGTTAAAGATCCGCCCCTTTTATTTGTGATGATCTCAATTTCTGATTGCGATATTATGAAACATCAACAAAAATTGTGGGGTAGGTCAGTAAAATAATTTCGAGCATATGTAATAATATAAACTCATTATTAATTAATTAATAACAAATACAATGAAATAAAATAAAAATTAAAGAAGATAATTTAAAATAAATTAAAAAAAATAAAATAAAACCTAATAAAATGAAATAGAAAAAAGCTTAAAAAATCAATTAAATGGAAAACGAAATAAAGTAAATAAAACAAAATAAAAAAATAGAATAGAGTGAAAAATACATAAAAACTAAATAAATAAAAAATAAAATATATAGAAATATGAAACTTAATTAAATTAACGTAAATAAAAAAAGCAAAAAAAAAAACTATGTAATAAAATTTTTTAAATTCAATTAATCTACCTGAAAAAAACATATATATAAAAAATAAAAAAGATGAAATTAAAATTATAAAATAAAAAAAAGAAACGACATATAACAAAATCAAATAAAATAAAACCAAATAAAGAAATAAAATAAAGAATAATTGCCATAAAATAGATAAAAAAATAAAAATATATTAAACAAAATAAATAAATAAAATAAACTTAAATAATAATAATATATAATAAAATTACATAAAACAATATTAAGCACAAAATAAATAATGTCATAAAACAGATTAAAATTCAAGAAAAAAATAAAATAATATTGAATTAAATTATATCGATATAAATGAAACAAAATAAAATAAAATTAAATTAAATATGAAATAAAGACCTAAATTAAATGAAAGGAGAAAATTAAAATATTATAAAACAAAATTAGATTAAACTAAATAAAAAAAAAAATAAACTGTAATGAAATAAAATGAAAAAATAAATAAATAAATAAATAATAATATAAGATAAGGAAACGAAACAAAAGAAGCAAAATCAAACAACATTAAGCTAAAAAAATGTAAAATAAAATAAAGAAAAAAGTTAAATATAAAACATATAAAATAGCATAAAATAGATTAAAATAAAATAAAAATATGAAATAAAATGATTAAAGAAAACAAAATAAAATAAAATAAAATTAAATAAAAAATTATAATACAAAATAACACAAAATGAAGTAAAATTAAAAAAGAAAATAAACTAAAATAAATTTTAATGAAATGGTAAAATTAAATAAAATAAAATTAAATAAAAAATTATAATACAAAATAACACAAAATGAAGTAAAATTAAAAAAGAAAATAAACTAAAATAAATTTTAATGAAATGGAATAAAATGAAATAAAAAACATAAAATAAAATAAAACTCAGTAAAATAAAATAACATTATATTATAATAAAATAAAAAGATTGAAAAAATTATCTATAATATTTCAAAATAAAAACAACAATTTAATGACAACCAATGTTTTTAGATCTGTTAAAATACCGAGCTCATATCTAAATTGCTATAACGCCAACTTAAATGCCAACAATAACAACTGCCCGCGAAAAGAAAAAATGCTTTATAAACAACTACAAATGACAGCAAATCTACCAAGTGTTAGCATCATGTAATGAAATTAATGATGCTACTACATTTCAAGGTTAGCCGCTACAACGACTTGCGCGAAGAGCAAAAAATCAAGCGCGCCCGCCAGATAGTTCGCAAACGAGCAATTCACGTGTGCTAACAGCTAGCGGCAAAATCAACAAGCAGCGAGCAACAATTGCAAATACTTTTTTGCCAATATTAAGTTAAAAAATATATATATTATAAATAAAAGCAACAACAACAAACGCGCGCGCTATACATCTCAAGCACATGTTGCTGTGGCATCAAGCGTGTTTCGACTGTTGCGCATTCGATTACGAAGAATAACAAAGCGCGCATTATATGTAGTTGGCCACTTGGCTGCTGGTACAAGTAAATTAGTGACCAACTTTTTAATTTTATTTTTTTCTTTACATTTTCATTATTATAAAAATATATTTGCTAACATTTTTTTCCTACTCTTCAACTGATTGTGCTTGTGCTTGTGCTTCTTTTGCCATTAAGGAGTGGCCGCATTCGTGCTAATGCCTGCAGCCGCAGCCGCAGCCGCCAAGCTCAACAATGCTACCAGCAACTATAATGTTAATAACAACAAATTTACGCTCTAATAGTTTTTGTTGTCTGCGACAGCAAAGCATTGAATCTTAAGTAAATTAAACATCGGAACAGCTGAGTACAAGGTTTGCGTAGCATTCTACCACGTTCTAAGCCCCCTTCATTCTTATCCTTCTAAATGACATTAGCTCAGTTAATGACAACAGTTGCTGCTGCTTTTTGTTGTTATTTAACTTATTGCCATTTAGATAGCAGTTGCTATGTACATTTTTTGTTGTTGTTAATGTACATATTAACGTGCGAGTGAGATCAAGGATAGTAGGTCAAATGTGTGCAATATTGCGCCACTGTTTTTGGAGGCTGTCAGGCATTGTTTATTAATAGTGCTGTTGGCGGTTTGTAAGAAATTTGTTTTTTTTTCCTTGGTCAGTAATATTTGATGATTGGATAACACAAAATTCTTCTTCTATACTTGTGGTCTTATATTCCTGCGATATTTTTTGTAAGAATGTAGATAAAAAAATTCAAGTAGAAATTTATAAATATTTAAGAAATATAACATTGTTTTATATTAATTTAACTTCTTCTTAATTTTATTTTAATTCATTTAATTTCATTTCTTTTAATTTTATCTTATTTTACTTTTTACTTAATTCATTTTATTTTGTTGTACTTTATTTTGTTTTATTTTTATTTTAATTTAACTTTTTTGTTTAATTTTATTTAATTTTAATTTATTTTATTTTTCCGGAAATTTAACTAAAATTAAAAATTATTAATTTGATTTCATTCTGTTTCGTTTTATTTTATTTTAATTTATTTTATGTTACTTTATTTTATTTTATTTCATTTCGTTTTATGTCATTTTATTTTTTTATGTGATTTTAGATTATTTTTTCTTTTTATTGCATTTTGTTTTGGATAATTTGTTTTGTTTTACTTAAGTTATTTTGTTTAATTTCGTTATTTTGTTTTATTTTATTTTATTTTATTTTAATTTATTGTAATTTATTTTAGTTAATTTCATTTTATTTTATTTTATTTTATTTTATTTTATTTTATTTTATTTTATTTTATTTTATTTTATTTTATTTTATTTTATTTTATTTTATTTTATTTTATTTTTTTTTATTTTTTTTTATTTTATATTATTTTATTTGATTTTATTTGATTTTATTTTATTTTGTTTTAATTTATTTTATATTATTTTACATTATTTTATTTTATTATAGCTTATTTTATCATATTTTGTTTCATTTTATTTAATTTTCTTATTCTTTTTTATTTTAATAAAGTTTTTTAGCAAGTGGTTTAACTTTATTTTATTTAATATTGCTGTGTTAAATTTAATTTAGTTTTTATTTGGTTTTATTTTATTTATTTTTTATTATGTTTCATTTTAATTGTTTATATTAGTTTAATTCAATATTTTTTATTCTAATTATATTTTATTTTTTGTTTATAATTAATTTTTTTATTTAATTTATTCAATTTTTTTCCTTATTTTATATTTTTATTATTTTTTTATTACATTTTACTTCATTTTTATTATTATATTATTTTACTTTATGCATTTATTGCACAAATGATTTATGCATTCGAGTATAGTGTATGTGCAAAGGTTATTACCCACTAACCACTTCACACATATTTATCATATATGCTAATATAATGTATATACTTCCTATGTAATAGTATGTAAATATGTTCTTAATAAGTTCTACATACTTTATTGCACAATTTTATATAATTTCATGCAAATTATATGCAAATTTTTATTAGCACCTTTATCACGTTATTCTCTTCTACTGAACTGGTTATTTATTTTCTTTTGCTCTTTAAAAGCCTTCATCTGCTTTAGGTTGATTGATTTTAATGATTTCTTCACACATGCATTGAAATCGTTTTAAATGCAAAGTGCTGTTGCAAATACTTGCCATAATTCATCTATTCTTTTTTCCCTGCTGACTAAATGCGTTTTAACTTTGGCGTGGCCCATGTGTAATTTGTTGTTGCATTAAACATGAATCTCCACGTTTAGGGTGATTTCAGGTGTCTTACCAGTTTTGCTTGAATTTTTGCAGATAAAATAAAAATTTAAATTGCTACTTTATTAGTTGTGCAATGTTATACGAATTGAGTGCGGCATTTACGCGCCAGTCGCCAGCTGTATGCAACGACTGCAGTTGGACAGGTGACATAGTTTTGTATTTTTATCTGATAATAAGGGAATATTAAAAAAAAATTAACGAAATATTTTGAGACTTACCGAAGCGTTTTGAAACTTAACGAAACGTTTCTTAAGCTTACTGAAACTTTTCAAACCTACATTTTGAAACTTTACGAAAAATTTGCATACCTTGCGAGCAATTTTAAACTTAACTATAGTTCAAAAAATAGATTAATTTAATTTACTCTTTTAAGGGAATTATAAAGAAAAATCACTTCCAATCGTTTTCCTATCACTTCTCACTCTCTACTCTTTCTTCTCTTCCAGATCCTCCCGCCTTCCAGTATCCCCCACCAGCCAGTCCCTGCTGTCCTGTGCACAGCCCTTCACCATTTACCGGCGGAAGTGTTGGTGGCGCTAACGGTGAGGTTTTCTTTCCCATCAGTCGCAGTACGCCACGCACTCCCCGCACCAGTGTCAGCTTTGCTGCTGGCGAGGAGAATACATTCTTTCGGCATCACAATATAAGTGGCGGTGGTGGTGGTGGCTGCAGCAGCAGCAGCGCAACACACCTCCAGCCCCCACAATCAGCACCAGCCATGCAACAGAGTAGTCACAATAATGCGCATAGTCAGACAGCACCACAACAATACCAACAATACACATATCCATATTATCAGTACACACCACCACCGACGCCGCTCACTGCCAACGCGAGTACATGTACCGGCGGTAATTTGTTCAACGGTTCAACGGAAGCGACAACACATCAGCGCACTTGTGTAGCATCAACATCGACAGCAACAGCGTCAACATCAACAGCAGCATCGACATCGTCGTGTGGGGCAAAGGGACATGCGCGATTGCATCGCAGCTTGTCGGATGCGCAAAAGCGGTAAGTGGGGGTGGGACTTTGAAGAAGGTTTTATAGGTATAACGAAATTCAAACAAGATTTTTTTAACATAACAACTCAAAACAAAAGTTTCAAGAACTTAACGAAACTTTCAGAAACTTAACGAAACTTTCAAAAACTTAACGAAACTTTCAAAAACTTAACAAATGTTTTAAAAACTCGACAAAGTTTTAAAAACTCAACAAAATTGTAAAAACTTTTTGAAAGTGAAACCTAACATTTTTTTTAATTACTCAATGATAACTTTAAAAACTTAACGAAACTCAAAAATATGTTTTTATGACTTAAAAAACTATTTTGAACCATTTGTGAACTAAAAACTCAATAAAAGCAAAATATGCATAAAATGGAGTTATTAAAAATTTAAAAAATGTACAATTTTGGAGCTTCTAGCGACTTAAATTTCAATCAAAGAGCAATTTAAATTCTCTTATCAGTCAACAACGCCTCCTTTGTACATTGGTGCTAAAAACAACAATAAACAAAAACGATTATGCAAACAAAAATAAATTAAAACGAAATCAGCTAAAGCGCCAACTGACGTTGATGACAATCGAACAATACAAGCGTAGCGGGGAAGGAACGACAAAAATGATTGCACGCTCGCGATCAACGACCGGCGGCCGGCTGTAGCTCCCGCAACACATTAACGCGCCATTTAGATTGTGAAATATCGTTATGCCTCTGTTCGGCGCTAAAAATATCAATTCCCATGACACGTTTTCACACAACCAGCCAACGGTATCGGTCAGTCAGCCGAGAGCTGTACAAGCCCCCAGCTTCCATTATTTAGCAGGCGCTATCTGGCTGCCTTTGAGCACTTGCTGCTTGCTAATTCGGCGTGTGTAAATATTTTTATGTATCCATATACATATATAAATATAGCTGACGACACTTGCTGTCGCGATAATCCCCTGTATTTCAGCCTCAGTGAGAACCTGCAGCGCTCTTCTCGCCGACATGGGTCTGGTCGATATGTCGATCGACAAGTCTCATAAGACGCCACTTTATCGCTTCGTACTCCCTCGCATACATACAAAGAAAATCAAGAATATTATTATATTATTTATCACCCTGAGAATGAGTACAATTCGCTGGCGATCTTTACTTCTTCTTCTTATTGCTTGCTAATTGCAAAATATGCGCGCTGATAAAAGCGCAAGAATTTATTCTATTCTCCAGCAATAAATATTCGATAAGAAGTTTCACTTTCCTACAAAAATAGAATATAATAAAATTTTCCAGAAAAAAAAACATTGTTTAGTATATTTTTTTCATTGAAATTATTTTTCTTGTCGTCATTTAAAGAATTTATTACATTTTTTTTCTTCCACTAAATCATTTAGCTCGCGCCGCTCATCAACGAACGCAAACGATGATGAACGTGAATGTCACAGCGAGCATGAGACCAGCTGGGACGAGTTCGATGATCGTTATGAGAATTTTACAGCTGGCCGTGAACGTTTACAAGAATTTAATGGACGAATACCGCCGCGTAAGAAGAAAAAGGATGTGCCAAAATCGAGGGCAGAGAGGAAGGTGAGTAGAAGACGGAGCAGTGAACTATAGTGAGTCGAAATTTAGTTTAAACAACTAAAAATATCCAATATAAATACAATATTTAGAAACGAAAGCTTTGAAAACTCAACGAAACTTTTGAAAGCTTAAGAGCTTTTAATAATTTTTGGAACAATTAACGAAAGTTTTGAGAAATATTGAAAACTTAACGAATGTTTCCAAAACTTAACGAAATTAAAAAAAAAATAACGAACATTTTGAGAACTTGACGAAAGTTTTGCAAAATTAGCTAAGGCTTTGAAAATTTGACGAAAGATATGAAACATCATGAAACTAACTGTTGAAAAGTTAACGAAAGTTTGGTTGTTCGTAATTAGTGTCAATACCTTACTTAGCACATTTCTTTCACATTACTCAACCTCCTTCAACAACTGATTAATCATATGTCTGCCATATGCCGTACTTAAAATTGCTTTATTTTCCGCCTAATAAAGTATGCGTTTTTCCTGAAAAAAAAACTCTAGTACAGGCGCAAGCGATAACCACAGGTGTTCTTCTTTATTTTAAAGACGTAAATTGCATCGTTCCACAGGAGCAAAAAAAAAATAATATAGAACTCACACAAAAGTGTAGTGAAACGCAAACTACAATATGACACAGTTCATTCATTTATAGACGAAAGCACATAATAAATAAAGAAAGCACTCTGAAACTCTTTATTTTCGAAACACTTGTGGACATATGCATGCATGCGAAAGGCAAATGAACGATGTACGACAAATTAAAAAAAAAAAAAAACAAATAGAACACTGCAGTAAAAAATATAAAAACTAAAAAAAATTTTATTACGTTGCAGCAACAAAATGTAATAAATGCAAAATGTAATCTAAGCCACAGGCAAGCCACTGACGATAGACGGACAGCACATGCGGGGCACCAGCCAGCAAATCACACGTCCGATTGCTGGCCACGAGCTGTTCTTGTTCTGCGGAGCGAGGGAGGGTAACAGTGTGCGGTCACTAAAAAGCCAGCAGATTTCTGAGTGCCTAGAGTCGTTGTCAGTGTTTTTTGCTAAAGAGTGTGGCTTTTAAAAATTTTTATTTAATTTTTTATTTTTTTAATTTTTCTTTCCCTTTTTTTTTGATAGTTGAGCTCGCCGATTTTATTGACATCGCAAAAAAGCTGCGCAATTAAATTTTATCGCGAAAAATACGAATTTTATTGTCACTTGAATCCGCGCAACACCGACTGATTTGCTGACTGCGCTCGAGCTGATATACTACTTGCCTGCATTCGACGCCTCACTGGCTACTAGTTATAGTTTTTTTCTAAAGCTTTTGGATTTTTTATGTGTATTTCTAAACAGAAAGCCGGAAAATGCAAATCTCTGCAATATTTTACGAGCGGTTTTTAATTGTACGGCTCCTTTTTTGCCAGGCGCTTAAATTGAATTTGTTTAATTTAATTTTTTTTTTACAAATCATTGGCTGATTTTTTTTTAAAGTGACGGTAACTTGTTACTTACTTGGCATGACACATTTAGAATGTGATAAAAGTTTCGAAAATAAAAAAAAAAATGTTTAGGTTTTTGTTCATAAATTTTATTTGTATTTTTTGTTACTTTTTTTTTTTGCTGTCAGCAACTATTATATTTTTCGCTGACGCATACAGCCGCTAGGCGCACAGCTGTTAGTGCAATTTTGTAATTTGTTCATATTACTAGTAACTACAGTCATATACATACATTAGGCATGAATGCTTTTTTTCTGCACTCTCTGCTTTATACTTACAACCGAAACGTATTTTTCTGTTTTGCTGTTGTATGTTAATGACCTTTTCTAGTTGTTTACTGAAGCGCGTAATTACAGTTTCAAATTTCAGTTGTATTTTAGTTTGTTTGAAGACCTTTTATAGCTTATACATAGGTAGATGGATGTTGGATGACCAAATTTTTTTTTAGGTTTGAGCTAGTTTTTTAGTAGATAAGCTGTTGGCGAAAACACAGCCATAAAACTTTTTCGTGCTTTTTTTTTAATTAAATTAAATTTCAAATTCTAAATTGGATTGGATTTAATATTAATTGATTAACTTATTTTTATTATTTTATTTCATCTTTTCGGTATTTTAATTCATTTTATTTTATTTTATTTTATTTTATTTTATATTATTTTATTTTATTTTATATTATTTCATTTTATTTTATTTTATTTTATTTTATTTTATTTTATTTTATTTTATTTTATTTTATTTTATTTTATTTTATTTTATTTTATTTTAATTTATTTTATTTTATTTTTTTTTAATTTTATTTTATTTTATTATTTATTATTCTATTTTATTTATTTCATTTTTATTTTCCATTTTTTTATTTATTTATTTGTACAAATCAATAAGGTTTTTCTATCACATATTTCTGCCCACTCAGAGTAAATTCTCTCATTTATTTGCAAAAGCATGTAAATCAAAAACTCCATCAGAATCCTAATCTCAATAGCATTTAATTGGCTATTAAATGCATTATTGTAGCACTTTCCCGCTTACAAATAGCAATAAACATCCCCTCGCATGCGAACTAACAACACCTGGCAGCGCTGACCGCCTATAAGTAGACTATGATTGTTTAACATTTACTAGTGTGTTTGGTCTCAAGTGCACCGCTGCTCAACAGTGTGCACATAAAATCCTCCCCAAAGACCAATTTACACGTGCACTTTAAGGGCTAATGTCACACTTTCGGTTATCTAGAGAGTACTGAATTACTTATTTACATATATATCAATATATTTATGAATGTATGTATGTAGTCAAATAGTTATCAATAAATAATATTTATATTTACATCATTACTACGTTGTTAGTTGGAATATGTAACAAATGCGCTTATGATTACAATAAAAATGTGCCGAAACTTGATACCAATATAATTGTAACTTTTTTCCCTCATATCTGCTAGCCAAATATGAATAGATGTTCGGTAAATGTAGTATACCCATATATAAAGAAATATTTCATTGAAGTTGTGGTCAGTTAGCTATTGCCATTTTGGTCAATTGTGTAGATTTTTTCAGTTTTTTTTTTCGCTTGATTGACCCTTACTTGCACCGACTTCGTTGTTGAAGTAAGGGTGGTTGCAGCGCTGTTGTTGTTAATATGCAAATATGAGATGATATAAATTCGTTTGTGATATATATTCTCCTAAATTTTTTCATTTATAAATTAATTGCTTGGAAAAATATACATTTCGAAACACTTGCTACAATTTTGGATTCGTTATTGAAAAGAATAAAATTAGTATTTGAATTTTGCTAAGAGCAAATAGTAAAATAAAAGAAAAAAATATAAATTGAAGTAAATAAATGAATGGTACAAAATAAATTAAATCAAACCAAAAAATGATTAAAAAATTTGGATAGAAATCATTAAAGGAAAAATTTAATAAAAGTGAAGTGAAATAGTATAAATTGAAATTATAATTATTAAATTAAACTAAATAAAATGAAATAAAACTAAAATAAAATAATATAAAACAAAAGTAAATTAAAATAAAACAATGTAATTACAATAAAATAAATAAATATAGAATACAATAAAACAATATATTTAAAAAAATTTGTAGTAAAAGAAATTAGAGGAAAATTTATCAAAAACTAATAAAAATGAATAATATAACTAACAACAATTAATAAAAATTTTTGCAAAAGCAATTTATTAGTAATAATAATACCTTTCATAATAACACTTATATATTAATTTTTTTCTTTTTATTTCTTTCATTCTTCACAGCAATTTAAAGCCTTCATCTGGCCCACTGTCGTTACAGTCATCGTTGTCGCTATGGGTTGTGGCTTCCTTGTGGCGCGATGAGCGCCTAAAATGAGAAGCTTTAACAGCGTTAACAGCAGCAATACTTACAATAACAAACACTAAACATGTAAGCAGCAGAAAAGCAATGCAAATTAAACAAATATTTACACTTAAAAAATAATAATAATAATTATAAATAAAGATTTGAGAAAAAAAAAACAAATTATCAAAAAATGCATATCGAAAGTGTTAAAGTAATCCCCGTTACGTGCGGAATGACTGCATTCGAATGAACGAGTAAGAAATGAAAATTAAGTATGAAAAAATCTACGCTGGAATTGTGGAATGAGTTAGTTTGAAATGAAACGAATGAAGCACGCGCGTGGAATGAGGCGACATAGACGCCGGGCGCAAGAGAGTGAGCACATCGACAAGCACTTGACTGGGTGCTGTTGTTACTCAGGCAATTGGAAAACTGATTTGCGAGAATCAAGTCGAATAAAAGCGTTAAAAAATGCTGAGAACAAGTGGAACGCAGTTGATGGGGAACATTTTGGAGCAGAGATCAAGTAAAAGAGCATTAAAGAAACCGAATTTTTTTATTCAAGTAACAACGAAGCTTTTCTTACACAATATCAAAATAAAAAAAAACGAATTCCAAGTCGAAAAAAGAAATGAAAATGGCAAAAATCATGTCTAACGTTTTTATAAAATAAAAAAGAGCTATATTTTTTGTAAAATGTAAGCATTTAAAGCATATCTAAGTAAACTGTCTTAAGAACAAAAGCACAATGCTGTATTTAGACGTGGAAATTTTGCAAAAATGAAGTATATGCCGCAACTACTTTAGGTATTTTAAAATACTGCCGCTAAGGATAAGCAAATATTTTTGTGCTAAATTAAAATATTTTTCTACAGTGAAGCTTTTTCATCTTTTAACGTGTAACAGATAAGACTGTTCGATAAGGAAAGACAACTTTTGACCTAAAAAAAAAAAATTTGTAAAGAGTAATAGCGAATTTCGAGAAAATAAATGAATGAATGCAATTGAAAATTTAAATAAAAATAATTAATGAAATGCACTATTTTAATTTAAAATCACAGCAATTAAAGGAGAAGAATTGACTTGAATATATAAAAGAGTAAACTAACTACATTTGGAATTTGGAAAATTACTTTAAAATTAAAAAACCAATAAACTAAAATATTTGATTAAAATTATTAAAATAAAAAATTTAAAGTTATTTGTTTTTGAAACGTTTTTTGAATAAAAAATCGCAGTATTTTTGATAACATATTTCAACATTTTATATAACTGTTTACAAAGGGAAGGTGTCTAATATATTGAACTTTTGATAAAAAATTTACAATTCAACATACATATCCAACTAAATGGTGAAAATAACAAACAAAAAATTATTATATGTATGGCAATAAATATTTTTATAAGAAACAAGGAGTTTTAATTTTTTTACATAAAAATCAGCCTTTTATAAAAAAAAAAATTGAGAAAAATTTGTCAATATTCTCCAAAAAATAAAGCTTTAAACTTAAATATATTTTCAGAACACTCAAATTGTTGCATAGAAAAATAAAAATCTGAAAGTGGATTTTTTGACTTCCTTTGATATTCTGCTAACTGCCATTTTTCCTATTTTCGAAGCAAATATAAATTGCGCTAAATTTTTATTACTTCTACCTACTTAAATCATTTTAACACAAACACTCCACTTCTTCTAAATACTTAGCAACGTAATTTACTTCTAAATGAATATTGGAAAAATTAATTTTTGTTTTAATCTTTGCTAAATAATTTAAAATGATCTTCATTAAACTTAAATATGGTCAAGAGCAAATATGAAGGTTTACTAACTGGTGATATTTTCTGAAAAAATTTTAAATCTAAAATATGTCTAGAAATATATCTCCATAAATAAATGCTCAAACTTGTCCTTAAAAATATAAAAATAATTGATATATACATATTCATATACCGTATCGATAGATATGAGTCCATCAAAATATGTTTTTAATTTAGGAAGGTGCTAAAACAGATTCAATATAAAAAACACTAAATAAAAATTAATACTAAACGTAAAAATCAACCAAAATATAATTAAATAAAATAACAAAAAGAGGTTCATCATTATGAAATTTGAAATTCAACTAAAATCCAGTTACAAAATAAAAAACATTAAAATAAAATTAAAAAGAATTAAATCAAATAATATAAAATCAAACATAATAAATTAAAAAAATTTAAAAAATTAAATAAAATAAAAAAATATTCAAAAAAATAATATCGATTAAGTAAATTAAATAAAATGAACTGAAATGAATTTAAATGAAACGAAATAAAATAAAATGAAATGATATAAAATAAAATCAAATGAAATATAATATAATAGAGTAAAATAAAATAAAATAAATAAGTATAAACCAAATCAAAATAAAATAATATAAAACAAAATAAAACTAAATAAAATAAAAAAATTGCATTAAAAAATGTAAGAAAAATATATTAAATTAAAAGTAATTAAATAAATTAAAATGAAAACTCATAAGATGGAATAAAATAAAATAAAACAAAATAAAATAAAATAAAATGAAATAAATTAAAATTAAATAAAATAATATAAAATAAAATAAAATAAAATAAAATAAAATAAAATAAAACAAAATAAATGAAACAAAATAAAATAAAAAAATAAAATCGAATAAAATGAAATAAAATAACATAAAATAAACTTAAACCAAATAAGATTATAAAATTAAAATTAAATAAAATTATGTAAAATAAAATAAAATAAAAAAAAATAAAAAATTTAAATAAAATATTTAACTAAATAAATAATAGTAAAATTAAATAATATGAAATAAAAATAAAATAAGAAATTTAAATAAATTAAAATAAATTATTCAATTAAATTTAAAAATAATCTAAAATAAATAATATAAAAAATATATATACTACGTGAAGCAAAGTAAATTAAAATAAAGTAAGAAAAATATTATGCAAAGAAAATAATGTCAAATAATGTCTAAAAAGTGTTAAATTAAATATAAAACAATTAAATTGATTTAAATATGAAACAAATGAAATAAATTTTTATTGCAATTAAAATTGAAAAAAGTTTTCAAAATAAATAATATAAAAAATTTAAATTTCATTATAAAACGAATTCCAAGTCTTCACTGTAATTTAGATTACAAAACTAACATTTATTGCAATATTTGTAGCAAATAATTATTTTATGAATACAACTGCGTAAAAATAAAAATCAATGCTTTAAAATACACATATACTATAATATAATTCATATATAATTAGTTAATTTTTTTACATACATATTTATCACATTACTGCTTAATTGTAAAAAAAAATTAAAGGCCATTTTTGTGATTTTGTTTTTTTACGTGCTTTTTTCGTAAACAAAACAAGCAAGTGTATAATATAAAAATATAAATTAAATTTAATATGCTTTTTGTGCTTTTCTTTTGCTGTAAATAGTATAGAAAATCTTAGAAAAATTACTGAGAAAATATTTGTATTGTAACAAAGAGTTTTCAGTTTGACGAAAAAGAAATATTTGCAAATTTGTTTCAAATATTCTGAGTGCATTAAATTGAAGCATATATTACAATTAATAAAAAATAGCGTAGTTTAATTATGAAAAAACCACATATCGTTATAATAAAATATCTTTATTGCAAATATGTAATGATAACATGTTTATAAATAATTAAATAATAAATATAAATAATTTAGCCTAAGTTTGTAACTTACAGTAAAATATTTTCAAATTGGTCTCAATACATTTTGTTTTTGTTTACTTACATACACATTTTTTTTTTTTTTGCATAATTTACGAATACATAAATGGCAGAAATGTTTGCTTCAAAAGATTAAATGAAATTTTGACCCAAAAACGCAATGCAAAACTCTTATGTATATAGCAAATTGTGCGAGAAAAAAAATTACAAAAATGAAAATAAACTAAATAAAATTTACCATAAATAAATTTTAAATGATAATCATAAAATTTCTAAAATGAAAAAAAAAACAATTCCCAAAAAACGCAATGATCTCAAGACAAGTAAAATACTGTATTTATATATGTATTTTTTGCTTTTTTAACATAAAAAGAAAAAAATCATAAGATAATATAATAATAATAAAAATTGTAGAGAAAAAACAAATGCTCATTAAATTTTGTTCGACAACCTTGGCGACTTTGGTTGGACATAAGCAATGATCGAAAATATGGCAAGCACAAAAACAACAATAAAACCACCACAACCAGAACTACAACCACCAACTTCAGTTATTATACATATATTATATTATATATAAATTGGTATTAGTTGTAATTGCTTATACTTATATTTCTTTACATACATATGTACACAAATATACATATATATATTTATATATATATGATTTAAATTATGTTTACTCTTTGCTAATAATAATTACCATTAATTTTATGCTCATATAATTTAAAAGTCACATAAAAAAATAAATATGTATATATAAAATTAAAAAAAAAAATTGCAAATGAACACACATAAAAGGCAGGTGATTGTAAAAATTTCTTGTCATTAGACATTGGTTTGTCGCTATTGCATTATAATTTTCTAGTTGAATTCGTTTATATAAATATGCATATGCAAATGCTTAGTTCTAATTTGAAGAAGAATTTCAATGAAAAATATGTGCCTAGTTGTAATTTGAATATTTAAATATTTTTTTTCTAAAATTTTGCATAAACAAATAAAATTAAGATTTTACGGCAATTATGAAACAATATTTTCATATGTAATTTTTTTGCCTTCAACACATATAATTAATATTGAAAATAGATTTTCATAAAAACAAATTTGAATACATTTAATATCGAATCGCATTCCGAGCTTTCATTCATAACTTTTTAAAAAATAATCCAAACCTTTTTTAATAATATTTTCAATACTGTTTAAGGGTACATCGCTTCAAACTCTTCTGAGCTTAAGTATGACTGCTAAAAAAAATACTCAGTTATATAATTTACATAAAAACAACTCCTCAAAAAAAAGTTTTTTTTTTCTTCTGAATTAATATTTAAGATTTTGAGATCCCTTTTCACATTGAAATTTCGTATATGTATGAAAAGGTCAGAGCTTTCGTGAAGCTCGGATTTGCTGAAAGCATTTTAAAGCACAAATTATGCAATCAAAAAACTTAAGAAAAAAATTTCAGCATATTACACTTCCGAAGCTCAAAAAAACTCTGCAAGCGCTTTACGACAAGACAATTTTAAAATAAGACTTGTTATTTTTTTGGTGTCTTACTAAGAAAATATTTATTAATTAAAACGAGTCTACTGCCTTTTTCTGAGTTTAAAAATAGAGGCCGGTTAGTATTCGAAACCTTTGCAAAGAAAAAATTTAAGAAATGTAAATAAAGTAGTAGCTTCTATAGTTTACCGAAAGTTCTTGAACTTATCAAAGCTCTCTGACTATTTCATATACACTCATTTCTTTAAAAAAAAAAGCATTATCATCAGTATGAACGATACTCAATCAACAAAACAATATTATTTGCACTTATAAACTCAAATTCTATTAAAAAAATTTCAAGAAAAAAAATTAAGTAAAACACAATCAAAAGA